GTCTTCACTGTTGAATTCTACCAGTCATTCAAAGCAGATCTAATACAATCTTAGTTGTTTCAGTAATTTTTAAAAATTTTAATATTGTATTATATTGCTCCTACACCCAAAATGAATACATGGAAAGTATCAAAAGATCCCATGAAATTTTATCTGTTTTCTCAGAAGACTACTTTAAAGCAATATAGTTCATTTATTGAATGCTCTAAAATACTTTCTATTCCCTTTAGAACTATGTAAATGTTTCCTAATATCACAATAGCAGTACATAAGACTCTGTTAATACAAAATGAAAATAAAATATTAACTGAAAACCCATGTACAATCATATAAATAGAGAAGTCAAGGAACAAATTTGTAGTGTTTAAAAATTATTATAATTATTTAAAGTTATTATAAACTCATCATTTCTAAATTTATATTTTGTAGCTCCATATACTTAAATGGCTTAGCAAAAGTGTACATATAGTACCAATTTTTTTTTCTAAAGGAAGCTAGACTACTCAAAGAAATGGTTAATGCTACATCTTAGGCAGGAAATATGTATGTGTAAAGAAAAAAGATGGCAGGAAATACACTAGGGTATCAAGACCAGTGACCTCATTAGTGATGGAATGTGATTTTTGATTATTACTTTATTTTTGTATTTCTATTGTATAATGTCTCTAGGAAATACTATTCTATGAATGTGTGTACTAGGTCTCGGAAAACAATTAAAAAGTTGTTTTAAAAGTTTTCTTTGTACTATCCTTGGTGAATTGATTTTTCTGACACCAATGCTTAAATTTATATAACTTTGGCCAAGTTATTTAAACATTTCAAAACTTAACTTTACTCATATGTGAGAAAACTATAACATTGGTCTTATAGATTTATTGTTTAGACTCAATTATTAAACTACTTAGCATAGGGGCTGGATCACAAAATAAATAATTAATACATCTTATATATTGCTCTTATGACTACTGTCAGTTTTATTTTTGTAGCCTCTTCTCAAAAAATTATCAGAACTCATTTCTATTTCCTGCACGGTAGTATAAATTATGTAGTGGTAGAGACATTGGTTACATTATTTTTTGAACTCTCAACATTTTAAAAAGATGTTCATTTGTTTTCCTCTATTCCACAATGAACTTAAGGATTCTCTCTCTCTCTCTCTCTCTCTTCCTTCCATTCTTTCTTTCTTTCTCTCTTTCTTTGAAGTTTTTGCCCCAGGCTGGGTTTGAACCCATCACATCCAGCATATGGGCCCGGCACCCTACTCCTTTGAGTCACAGGCTCCACCTGATTCTGCACTCTTTATATGTTCCATGAATGACTTAAGTAAAATTAAAACATTTTTCCCGTGTTATTGCTCAATACATGCTTACTAATTGGAATAAAAACAAGAGTTTGACCTTTGACAGAACTTACTGAGTTTTCCATTACTCATTAAACTTTGAACTGTCTCTCAGTGTGACTGTATCTGATAATCAATGAAATTTTAACCTCACAATGTCAACCCTTATCTAAATGAGCAACTCTATATTCAAAAAGCAACATACAGCTTCTAGGTGGAGCTGAGCAGCTTATTGAAGAACACTATTCAGGCATATCGTGTAACTTTACTTTCTCTGTTTCTGAAGACAAAGAAGCACAGGAACTACAACATGGGAAGAAAATCTCTATACCTTTTGATTGCAGGGGTCTTTGTTGCATACTACATTTATATACCTCTCCCAGATAATGTAGAGGAGCCAGGAAGAATTATGTGGATGAATACATACATGAAAACTTTTACACATTTGGTAAGTTTAGAATTTTGTGATTTCAGGAATGCAGTCAGTTGGCCTGGAGAAATAAGTTTTCCAGGATTTTGTTCTTTTGATTTATTGATCTATTGACCTTTTTATCTTTGTAAATACGTGTTGTGGTTTTGACAATGTAATGCTTAGAAAAGTTGCTTGTTTTCTTGCTTTTTATTTTATGTATTGGAGTTATGTTTTAAAATGTAAATAACAGTCATTGAGGAGTCATTTGAGCAGGTTCTACTGGAAAATGCTTTGGTTCTTCAGTATCATTAATGTCATAACAGTGACTGTCTGCTGAAATTCTTACAGGGAGAATGTGGATCGAAAACAAGGGAAGGGAAAAACATCTCCAGGAAAGGGGTAAAACAGAGGAATAAGCTGAGCAAGGCCAAATAAAAAACAGTTTAGCCAGCTTGCTTTTAACCTGGCAGCTAAATTACTTATCTGAGCAGTTCCTGCTTTTACTAGAAGACTGACCTGTAAGCTATATAGTTTGTAAACGCCCCCTGCTGTGATCTGTAAGCACTTTGATGGACAATGGCTATAACAGAAGTACATGCAAGGCCTGGGAAGGAACATTACCCAGCTGTTCCCTGCCTAGTCAATAGTCAAAGCAAATACTCATAGTTGGTATTTTTATTATGGCCAGAACAGAGATCAAGGGAATAGCTCAACGCCTGTAATATGGGCAGGAGAGCTTGTTCCCGAATCACAGAGAAAGATGCCTTTAGGTGCCTATGAGAAGAAAATTCTTCTCTTCCACCCACTCTTCAGAGGAGCCCAGTGCTGTAGCATCTGCTCCACAGAGAAACTAGAAGGATTTAATGTCCTCCAAGGAACCTAGGTGCCTGACCACAGACAAGAGGCATCTGCTTCACAGAGAAACTAGAGGGATTTAATGTCCTCCAAGGAATCTGGGTGCCTGACCACAGACAAGAGGCATCTGCTTCACAAACTAGAGGGATTTAATGTCCTCCAAGGAATCTGGGTGCCTGACCACAGACAAGAGGCCACCCCGACAAAAGCCTCAGGTTTTGGATTTCTCAAAGCTGCCCAGACTCTTAAAGTTAATGATAATGGGTAGAATAAGAACTACCATGCTTACTAGATAAACTGTTGACATTTTTATTCCATTCTCAGCTTACCCTCTCAGCTAAATGAGAAAATACCCTGTAATAAAAGCTAGGTGGAACAAATACTCAGGACCACTCACTGAAACCTCATGAACTAGCAGTGTTCTCCTGTGTTCCCAGTTTTGAAAACTCTATTCTGTGTGTTCTGTCTCTTTATCTCTCACTGCTTTTAACCTTAACTTTATATTTCTTTAGTTGATAGGCTCTAGTAACCCAGATCTTAAGGGACACTGTCCCTGGGGCAAGATTCTGGTAATTCTTACCTTAGAATATTATAATAGAATATATTACGATATAGAATATATTATTTAAATTTTTTAAACAAATAGAAACTATGCAGTGTTTTTATAGATCTAAATAAATTCTCAGGAAATCCAAATGAAAATCAAGCTGAAGGGAGGTGGGTGCAGCAAGTGGGTAAATTCACTCCTATTATTTCATACAGTGCACACTGTAACTGAAAACTTTGACTCAATCTAGGCAAAAACAAAATATATATACAAACCATGTGTATCCCCCTACTGCTTTGAGTAAAAACTAAAGTTCTCAAGGAAATACTCTATGGGTCAGCCAGTTGGCACATGCCCAGGGTTAGCTAGGAAAGCCAGGATAGGAAGAAATGGAAGGAGGGCCCTGGGGTGTCAGAGCAATGGGCTGCTTGCCATAGCAACACTGTCCTTGGCAAGTAAAAAAGGTATAGATCTCTCTGGTGCCGGGAACTGTTTGCCTATTACTTCTTTGATTATTTATTCCCTTCATTTTTAAAAAATCTTTTTTCAGGACAGAAATCAGAGACCATGTAGACATTGGAACTCCTAGACTGATCTTTTATTTTACATTCATTTAACCATTCAAATCTCTGTAAAGTCTTATTAGAGAAACAAGGAGTCTGCCCCCACAGAGTCAACATGGTAGTTGTAGAGGAAAAACTAATTAGAACCAAATTAATAAGTGACTTCAGGTCACAAGAAGTGCCTTAAAGGAGATAAAATGGAGAAAAAGAGAGTAATTTGGGCAGAAGGAAGGGGTGGGCCTTACTGCATGTCTGGTCAGAAGAAACCATTATGAAGAAAAACTACCTGCATAAAGACCAGAAGGTGAAATGAAACCAGCCATCCTAGGTGCTAAGGAAAACGTTTTCTGGGAGGGAGAGTAACAGGTTTAAAAATCCCAGCTGCTAAGTTCTGACAAGTTCAAGAAATCACATACAACATTTGGGTTTGATGGGGAAATTGTTGCAATTTAGCTCAAAGAGGTTACATGTCATATCATGCAATGCTTTATGGACAAAGGTAGTGAGATTTGATTTAATTTATCTGTACTATAGAGCTATCAGAGAGTTTTAAGAAGGAACAATTTTTTCCCCGTATTTGTTATTATGGAGCAACAATTTGCAAAAGGTCATAAATTTCTTTTTGGAGTTCTGCTATTATCTTTTTTATTCATTTAAGTGACATTTAAATATATACATGTTGTGTGCATATATATCATGTACATATATACACACACTATGTATGTATATCTATATTTCTTCTCTGGCACTCTTTGAATTTATTTATTTATTTGGATTCTCTCCACGATTTATGAATGGAATATACTTTCAGAGTCCTCAAAGGATATACATTTTAAAAATTGTGTTTCTGTCATTTTTTATTGGTGAACTATCTGCTTCTTGTTTGGTTTTTGTATTTAATTATTCTCCTGCTTCATCTCGTTTTCTTCTGATTAGTTTGGCTGGCTTCCTTCATATGTCTGGCAATCTTTCAGCATTCACATCTTTTCGTGAAGGATTTCACTATGAACAGTAAATCAAAACTCAAACTGATGGATTTAGAATTCTGGTAAATATCCATTACTAGCTATATAGGCATAGATTGCTTACTTAAACTCCCTGGGCTCTTTTTTCTCCTTTTTGAAATGGATAAATTAGTATTATCTACCTTTTCCACAGGCAAGTTTTTAATATTAGTGGTATTAATACATATACAATGCTTAAAGAGCTGACTCATTTTAGGGTGAAAGTATAGGAGGCCCTCCCTTTTCTTCTTACCCATTACATACCTCTCATTTATGCCATTCAGCTCTCAAGCTTGAAGGCCATACTTCACAAGAGGTGTGTCAATTCTAAGCTAAACCAGTTCTGCCACATGGAAGGGTTTTTTCCTTTAGTTTTGAAGCTACTTTCTTAAGATAAAGCATTTCTTTTAAGACTGATAAAAATGTCTTCCTATCTGAAAACACTTTTCATTTGCTACAACTCCCCACCCCAGCTTTTGTAATCACTGCTGATTGCTCCCATAGTTACCTAGTGCAGAGCTCTGTAATATTTAGGTTGTTCTGTAACAGTTCACTAAACTGTCTTCCCTGTTTAACTCTGATATTCTTGAGAAGAACATTTATCTTATTCATCTCTGGAACCCTAAAGCCTTGTCAAGAACTTGATACTTTATGTGTGTTTGTGGGAACTGTGGCTTTAAGGCTGCTGCCTGTCTCCTAAAATGTCAGTTTCAACAAGCAGACTACTTCCTCAATTCTTCCAGTTCTCTCTGGAATAACCAGACACCCCGAAGTATGGCACCTGTGAAAACAACGTTTATTAAAGAAGAGAAAGGTTTACAGGGTAAGAGCAAGACACAAGTTTGCAGAGCAAATTATGTTTGCCATGGATAGTGAATAGGCCCTCATTGTTACCTCAAGGAAAAGGCAAGGAGGTGTACATTGTGGCCACTGCTTCTGTTTTATAGTGTCTTGATCAGGTCTACCTCATGGTTCAGAGGTCTTCTTAGAAATAGAGTCTTATTGTTGGGAGTTAGGTTTTAAGCAGGGACTCAGAAATAGCACAGAGAAGAAGGTGAGGTAACCCCTCAGAGTAGCTTGTGCAGCCATTGGACAGTGGCTGATGGTAAACAGGGCAATGCTTGAGGGAGGAACGTTCTCTAGAGATTGGGCAGAAACAGTTCTTTAGCACAAAGAAAGGGCCAATCAACAGAAGCCAGTCATTATTTAAAGAAACCAATGTCAG